TATTTTGCCAAAGGCTTGTTACCTTCCCTGTGTCTTCTATGGGATAATCACCTAATTTTCTTCTTTTTTTTTTTTTTTTTTTGCCGTACGCGGGCCTCTCACTGTTGTGGCCTCTCCCGCTGCGGAGCACAGGCTCCGGACGCGCAGGCTCAGCGGCCATGGCTCACGGGCCCAGCCCCTCCGCGGCATGTGGGATCCTCCCGGACCGGGGCACGAACCCGTGTCCCCTGCATCGGCAGGCGGACTCTCAACCACTGCGCCACCAGGGAAGCCCCACCTAATTTTTAATGTGCAGCGTCAGTAAATAATATGGTTATTTTTAGTCCTGGAGAAACCATACAAAAGAGATTTTTGTGCTCATTATTTACACTGCAGGAGTAACCTGAAATATTTATTTCAGAAAATTATATGTAAAATGGTATTGAATGCGATTTTATTTTATTTTATTTTTATTAATGGACTTTATTTTTTAAAGAAATTTTAGGTTTACAGAAAAATTGAGCAGAAAGTACAAAGAGTTCCTGTGTACCCTTTCTCCTTCCCCCACCAATTTCCTCTGTCATTAACATCTTAGCTTAGTGTGGTACATTTGTTACAATTGATGAACAAATATTGATACATTATTAACTAAAGTCCATAGTTTGCATTTGGGTTCACTTTTTGTGTTCTACAGTTCTGAGCTTTGACAAATGTATAATGTCATGTATCCACCATTGTAGTATTCTTCAGAATAGAATGCAATTTTGAAAATGAATTTTTTTTTTTTTTTTTTTTTCGGTACGCGGGCCTCTCACTGCTGTGGCCCCTCCCGTTGCGGAGCACAGGCTCCGGACGCGCAGGCTCAGCGGCCATGGCTCACGGGCCCAGCCGCTCCGCGGCACATGGGATCCGCCCGGACGGGGGCACGAACCCGCGTCCCCTGCATCGGCAAGTGGACTCTCAACCACTGTGCCACCAGGGAAGCCCGAAAATGAATCTTAATTATACCATCCCACCTAAATTTCTTTTTGCATATTCTCCCCATTCTTTATGAGTTACAAGTATACATCGTTTACAGAAGTTTTACATAGCTTCCCTCACATTGTACACACAATTTTAGAGTCCCCTTTTTGCTTTAGCATTGCATCATAAATGTTTTCCCATATTACAGTATTTTCTTCTTCTTTATAATTTTAAAGGATTGTCTATTATCCCATTTGTTTGACATATCATAATTCTCTAGACATTTCCCAGTTGTTGAGCATTTAGGTTGTTTCAGTTTTACGTTATTCATAGCACAGCTATTGTTTATTTTGCCAGTAGTGTTCAGCTTCTCTTAAATTGTTTTCTTAGGATAACTTCCCAGAACTGAGATTACTCTTCAAGGAATATGAATAACTTTCTAATCCTTGATCCGTTGCCCTGTGTTGCTTTCCAAAGGGCTGTTGCATAGCACTGCCTGTCTCAGAATTTTTCAACAGCACTGGGCAGCACAGACCGAGGATGGTCTCACACTGTCCACGTATGGGTAGATGGCTTTATAATCTTACATTGAAGACAATTTAACCTTGGGGACTATTTTAACAGAAAAAACTCTGAAGAGGCTAGGACTATAGTCAGCTTTCTAAGCTTTGGCTTTTTCACTTGTACAACCGATCCTATCATTTCGTGACACATGTTTGTGTCCAATCAGTGAGTTATGACATTGTGTGTGTTTGTCCGCGGGCGCTGGTAGAATCACAGTGCTAGTCCTATTGCAATTGCCGGAGTGCTAGACGTCAAGCATGCCATAAACATGACTCACATATGGCTGTTCAAGAAACTTTGATTTATGGCAACACAGTATAGGCAGAAGTGGAAGATCTTATTGCCTAAAGGAGTCAGGCAGGTGTTGTACATGAGTGAAACAGCACAGGGATTGGACAGTACAGGAGGTCAGGGGCAGGCTGAAGGGGCTGTACAGGCGTTATCCAAAGGAAGGATGTCATACTTGACTCCAGCTGATGGCTGCCAGGAAGGAATGCCAGACCAGTATCTTTAGTGCTCTCAGTTTTTCAAGACGACTTGGAAATCTGTAGTTTTAGATATCTTAGCTGGTACAGGCTGCTGTAACAAAAATCTCACAGCCTGGGTGGCTTAAACAGACCTTTAGTTCTCATAGTTCTAGAGGCTGGGAAGTCCAAGATCAAGGAGCTGGCACATTCAGTGTCTGGTGGGAACCCACTGCCTGGTTCATAGATGCCATGCTTTTACTGTGACATCATACAGCAGAAGGGGCAAAGTAGCTCTCTGGGGTCTCTTTTATTTTTTTAATTTTTTCAACTTTGCATCCCTTGTTGTATTTCTGATTTTATCTATTTATCCATTCATTCATTCATGCTGCACTGGGTCTTATTTGCGGCACACAGGAGCCATTTTCTTGAGAAAGTCATGGTTTTAAAGTAAATTTTTCTTTATTAGACAGTTTGGTTTGTCCATGATTTACCAGGTGGTGCGTGGTCTGTGGTCACCAAACAATGCATGCTTAGTCATATTTGAAATGATGTTTTATTTATTTATTTATAAAGAGCAGATCTTTATTTTTTCTTTAATATTCATTTTATTTATTTATTTATTTGGCTGCGCTGGGTCTTAGTTGCAGCATGCAAACTCTTAGTTGCAGCATGCGGGATCTAGTTCCCTGGCCAGGGATCAAACCTGGGCCCCCTGCATTGGGAGCACAGAGTCTTAGCCACTGGACCACCAGGGAAGTCCCTGATGTTTCGTTTAATCAATATTATTTAAAATTTCTTCTGGTGATCATTATAAAATTGTACCCCAAATTGGGTGATTGGCTCAATCCAGTGGAAAAATCACCTGTTAAAACTCTGATTTAGTCTCTTAAAAAATTCATCCCTAACTGTAATTAAGAAGCTTGATTGACATGCCGAAGTATACCGTAAGAAACACTTGATCTCACAGTTCTTGTGGGACCACATTCAGGCCGCGCTTAGCTGGGCCTGGCTGGCTTGGCTCAGGGTCTCACAAAGCTGCAATCAAAGTGTCAGCCAGAGTGTGTTCTCAACTGGAGGCTCAGCTAGGGAAAAAGTCTGCTTCCAAGCTCACTTGGCATGTTGGCAGAATTCATTTCCTTCTGTTGTAGGACGGAGAGCTTTAGCTTTTTGCTGTCACTTTAGCTTTTGAGGCTGTCCTCAGCTCCTACTGGCTACCCATAGTTCCCTGCCACGTGGCCTTCTCCATGGCAGTGTGCAACACGGCAGCCTGCTTCTTCAAGGCCAGCAGGAGAGTGAGTCGACTAGCAAGGCTGAGTCTTATTCAGCATGACCTAATCATGGGAGTCATGTGTCATCACTTGTGCCATATTCTGGTTAGAAGCAAGTCACAGGTCCCACCCACACTCCATGGAAGGGATTACACAAGGACAAGAACAACAGGATGTGAGACCGTAGGGGTAGCTTAGAAACTGTCTACCACAAGGAGCCGTGTGTGTCTTGCTTATCACTGAATCCTCGGTGTCCAGAATTATGCCTGACACACATTAGATCCTCCATAAGTGTTGGTAGTTGAGTGAACTAATGTTGCAGATGTTACTTCTCTGAATCATGTGTTGCTTTTTTTTTCCCCCCAAGTCTATGGTTTACCTTTTGGTCTTATTTATTACATGTCTTGGCGTATAGACATGTTAAGTTTTAATTTAGACAAATCAACAAAATTTTACCTTGGTCTGTTAACATTACTTTACATCTCAGGGAGTCCTTTTCCCATCCAGAGGTTAGATAATTATTTGCATATGTTTTCTCCTAGATTCTAAATGACTTCTCTTTTACATTTAGCTCTGATCTATCTAGAAGGTTAAGAAATAAATGGAGGGACTTCCCTGGTGGCGCAGTGGTTGAGAGTCCACCTGCCAATGCAGGGGACATGGGTTCGAGCCCTGGTCCAGGAAGATCCCACATGCCATGGATCAACTAAGCCCGCGAGCCACAACTACTGAGCCCATGCACCACAACTACTGAAGCCCACGTGCCCTGGAGCGCATGCTCCACTGCAATGAGAAGCGCACGCACCGCAACGAAGAGTAGCCCCCGCTCAGCACAACTAGAGAAAGCCCGCACACAGCAAAGAAGACCCAGTGCAGCCAAAAATAAATAAGTTTATTTTTTTAAAAAAGGAATTAAATGGAGAGTTGTAATGGGAGGTAGCAAATAATCCTTTTTTTCCCCATCCCTCTTTGCTTCCTTATTTAGTTGTATTGAATTATTATGTGATAGCTTCTGGACTTTCTATTCTGTTTCACTTATTTTTCATTCTCTTCTTGCTTCAATTTTTTCCATCTAAGAATTATAGCATTCTTGGTCAGAAAGGCCAACGCACTTACTGTCAGAATCATTCAGTATAATAATTAAGACATAGCCTAAGCTGTTGTAACAGAAAGACTCCAGAATGGAGAGCCTCAAATAAAGCTGAGGCTTATTTAACTTTGGTGTAACAGTGAGGGGTGTGTGAAGTCGGGAGCTGGAGAGGCACCTCTTCCCCACAGAGTCGTTTGAGGACCCAGGCTCCTTCTGTCCTGTAGCTCTGCCAGCCCCTTGGGCGATGTCTGGGCCTGTGTGGTTGGAACTGTCTCATCCCCACATCCACATTCCAGTCTATGGGAAAGGAGGTGGCGGAAGTCTTAAGGAAGTGCCTTTGCCTTTGAGCTGAGGAACCCGCAGTGGCATGTAATATTTTGCTCATATCCCTTTAGTCTAGACTAAACCACGTTGCCACATCTACCTTCAAGGTATGGTATCCAAACTGTCATCATGGATTTGGCTAAAAGTTGAGAAGATCTGTTATTAAAAAAAGAAGAAGGGGGAGAGGTTCCAAGGACAACTAATGGTCTTTGCACTAGGCCAGTATTCACAGTTAACAAATAATCATATTTAACAGGAAAGTAATAATCATTTTTACCAAGTGAAAAAGTGTCTTTGGATATGGCAATAAAATACAACTATGTCCTGATTTTTGGTTTTAGATGGCCAGTAACCCATGTTCCAGGTAGCATTCTATACCAGTCTTGAATGCCAACAGGAAATCACTGGACAGCAGACCCTTCCAAGATCATAACTGGGCTGTTGGAGTAACTTGGAAAAGAAGAAAAAAGAACTGAAACCATGGCAAAAGTAAATAGAGCTCGGTCTACCTCCCCACCGGATGGAGGATGGGGTTGGATGATTGTGGCTGGCTGTTTCCTTGTTACCATCTGCACCCGGGCAGTAACCAGGTAGGTGGGACTTTCTTCTCGATTTATTATCAGATGACCTGGCTTGTCTTTTTTTCTAAGTCGGCTTCGTTCTAGTTCTGAACCTGTCATTGTGAAAATATATGTGTAAATATATGTTTTGTGCATGTGTGTGTGTTTCCTTTGACTGATCGGATATCTTTTTCTTTGCAAGGAATGTGATTTCCTGACACTTAAAAGTCCTGGGTAGTGGTCTCCTATAATCTCTGCCACATAAACCTGGAGGGTTAGGACATTTTTCAGCTAAATATTATGGCTCTGCCAGACATTTATTTTCATAAGCAGCTCTTCCCACGAAGGACAAATATATAAGCTCAAAATAGTCCTTGAAAACATCTCGGCTCACCAGAATACTGAGCCGTTGGAAGCTTAAAGCCTAGAGTTTAAATTCTTTTGCTTCATTTTGCACTTGGCTGTGGTAGTGGAGGCTGATTTCTAGGTTGAAGGACAGAAAGAGCATAAATACAGGGATTCTCTCATCTCATTTGGTCATGTTTCCTCTTTTCCTTTTACCCAAGGGCATAGCCTTGACTATACTTAAGTTAAACGTGTGTACACTGAGGTTCATTCATCTCATTTACATTTGGAATAAAGCCACACTTGAAATCTGCATGTGCTCGCTCTCTCCTCTAGAGGTGCCTTCATTCAAATTGAACTCTGTTGCTCTTCTCTGGCAACACTCCCTTGGCAGCCAAAGAAACTGATTTGCACTACATATCTTCACTTGATAGCATCATCAATAAAAGCATCGGGCTTCCCTGGTGGCGTAGTGGTTGAGAGTCCACCAGCCGATGCAGGGGACGCGGGTTCGTGCCCCGGTCCGGGAAGATCCCACATGCCGCGGAGCGGCTGGGCCCGTGAGCCATGGCCGCTGAGCCTGCGCGTCCGGAGCCTGTGCTCCACGACGGGAGAGGCCACAACAGTTGAGAGGCCCGAGTACCACAAAAATAAAAAATAAAAATAAATAAAAGCATCAATGTACCCCCCATAACAAATAGATAATGCAGGAAAGAAGCAGGATGTTTGTTTTTGCTACAATAAGGATTCGTTGATTATGTGTCAAAATAAACTGTAGATTTGTTTAAAATAATATGATGGTTGAGTCTGATTTTTCTCCCGTCTGGATTATGGATCTTATGTTCTGGGAGTGAGGAGGTCATAGAGTTAAAAGGCATCTCTTTCATCTTTGTTCTTACATGTGGACGCTTTCATCATTCCCATGAGAGGAAAGTTCTGGAAGTGAGCTTAGTGCTTCTATAAGAAGGGCAGCTGGGAACCAGAAAAGAGGATTGTGGCTGGCAGCAAAGGCCTGTTTTCAGAGGTTCCTGGGAGAGGCTGAGAGGAGGATACCTGAGCACAATAGGCTCAGAGGAGAAAAGGGTGACACACCAGGAAGCAACCAAGAGAACTGGAGACAGAGACGAGGAAAGCAGCCTGCACGGTGACTTGTCAGTTCAGAGGATCAGTGCCTATTGGGCAGTTAATTCTTTTTCCAGTTTTATGGAGAACTAATTGACATTCATCGCTATATAATTTTAAGGCATACAGCATGATTTTTTTTATTGAAGTATAGTTGATTTACAGTGTTGTGTTAGTTTCTGGTGTACAGCAAAGTGATTCAATTTTTTTATATGTGTGTGTGTGTATATATATATATATATATATATATATATATATATAACTGAATATATATATTCTTTTCCATTATGGTTTATTACAGAATATTGAATTTAGTTCCATGTGCTATACATTAGGACCTTGTTGTCTATCTATTTTATATATAATAGTTTGTAAGCATGATGATTTGATTTACATATACTATAGGTTCAGCTAACATCCGTCTTCTCATATAACTACAATAAAAAGGAAAGAAAAGAAAAAAGATAAAAACTTTTCTCTTCACGATGAGAACTCCTAGGATTTATTCTCTTAACAACTTTCCTATATATCATACATCATTGTTAGCTGTAGTCATCATATTGTTCATGACATCCCTAGTACTTATTTATCTTATAACTGGAAGTTTGTATTTTTTGACCACCTTCCTCCAATTCCCTTTCCCTCCCCACCCCCCGCCTTGGTAACCATAAGTCTGATCTCTTTTTATATGCGCTTGGTTGTTGCTTTAGATTCCACATATATTTAAGATTATACAGTATTTGTCTTTCTCTCTCTAACTTATTTCACTTAGCAGAATGCCTTCAAAGTCTGTTCATATTGTTGCAAATGGTAGGATTTCCTCGTTTTTTTTCTGGCTGAATAATATTCCATTGTATATACATACCACACCTTCTTTATCCATTCATCCATCCATGTCTTGGCTATTAAAAATCATGCTGCTATGAGCATGGGGGTGCAGATATCTTTTCTAGCTAGTGCTTTCATTGTCTTTGGATCTATTCCCAACAGTGGAATTTCTGGATCACATGGTAGTTCTATTTTTATCCCTACTGTTTTCTATGGTGGCTGTACCAATTTACAATCTCATCAACAGTGCACAAGGGTTCCCTTTTCTCTGCATCCATACCAGCATTTGTTATCTTTTTGATGATGATTATTTTAACACGTGTGAGGTAATAGCTCATTGTGGTTTTAACTTGCATTTCCCTAACAACTAGTGATGTTGAGCATCTTTTCATGTACCTGTTGGTCTTTAGTATATCTTCTTTGAAGAAATGTCTATTTAGGTCCTTTGCTCATTTTTTAAATTGGGTTATTTGTTTTTTTACTATTGAGTTGTGTGCAATCTTTGTATGTTTGGGATTTTAACCCTTTATCAGATACGTGGTTTGCAAATATTTTTTCCCATGCTTTTCACTTTGTTGATGGTTTCTTTTGCTGTGCAGAGCTTTTTAGTTTGATGTAGTCCTGCTTGTTTATTTTTTATTTTGTCACTTGTGTTTTAGGTGACATATCCAAAAAATCATTACCAAGACCCATGTTGAGGAACTTTATTCCTATGTTTTCTTCTAGTAGTTTCATAGTTTTGGGTCTTATATTTAATCCTTAAATCCATTTCAAGGTAATTTTTGTGAGTGGTCTAAAATATGGGTCTAGTTTTATTCTTTTACATGTGAATATCCAATTATCTCAGCACTATTTACTGAAGAGACTGTCTTTTCTCCATTGAATATTCTTGGCTCCCTTTTCAAACATTAGTTGATGCTTAGGTTTATTTCTGGGTTCTCAGTTCTGTTCCACTGGTTTATGTGTCTGTTTTTATGCCAGTACCAAACTGTTTTGATGAGTACAGCTTTATATTATAGTTAGAAATCAGGAAGTGTGATACCTCTTTCTTAGGATTTCTTTGGCTATCTAGGGTCATTTGTGGTTCCATATAAATTTTAAGAGTGTTTTATCTACGTCTGTAAAAAATGCCATTGGATTCTTGATAGGAATTGCATTGAATATATAGATGGCTTTTGATAGTGTTGACATTTTAATAATGTTAATTCTTCCAGTCTACAAACATGGGATATCTTTCCACTTATTTGTGTCTTCTTCAGTTTCTTTCACTGATGTCTTGTAGTTTTCAGCATAGAGATCTTTCATGCCCTTAGTTAAACTTACTGTATTTGAGGCTATTGTAAATGGGATCAATTTCTTTATTTCTTTTTTGGAAATTTTATTGTTAGTGTATACAAACACTACTGATTTTTGTATGTTAGTTTTATATCTGGCAACTTACTGAGTTCATTGATTAGATCTAAGAGCCTTTTGGTTGTGTCTTTAGGATTTTCTATATATAAAATCATATCATCTGCAAATAGAGACAATTTTACTTCTTCCTTTCCAATTCTAATACCTTTTATTAATTTTTCTTGCCTGATTGCCGAGGTTAGGACTTCTAGGACTATGTTGAATAGGAGTGATGAGAGTGGCCACCCTTGTCTTGTTCCTCATTTTAGAAGAAAGCTTTCAGCCTTTTACCATTGAGCATGATATTAGCTGTGGGCTTGTGACTTATAGCTTTATTATGCTGAGATATGTTCCTTCCATGCCCAATTTGTTAAGAGTTTTTATCATAAATGGATGTTGGATTTTGTCAAATGCTTTTTCTGTGTCTATTGAGATGATCATACAATTCATTTCTTTCATTCTATTAATATGATGTGTCACATTGATTGATTTGTGTATGTTGAACCATCCTTGCATCCCAGGAATAAATTCCACTTGAACCTGGTGAATGATCCTCTTAATATGCTGCCAATTCAGTTTGCTAGTATTTTATTCAGAATTTTTGCATCTATACTCATCAGGAATATTGGCCTGTAGTTTTCTTTTCTAGTAATGTTCTTTTCTGGTTTTGGTATTAGGATAATGCTAGTCTCATAAAATGAGTTTGGGAGTGTTCCTTTCTCTTTGATTTAAATAATATGCTTAAAGGTTAAACCATACATCTGGAAGGTAAAAATTCAAACAATACAGAAACATATAAGGTAAAGCCTTTTTCTCCTCATTTCCTGAATCCCTGTTTCACTGCCTAAAGTTAATCTCATAAATAGTTTCTTGAGATCTGTCCAGAAAATTTTTTAAAAACCTTATGTCCATATATAAAGCATGTTCTTTTCATTTACACCAATGGGATCATATTATACACACTGTTTTGAACTTTTTTTTGCTTAATAATATCTTTTGGAAATATTTCCATATCAGCACATATGGCTCTACCTCACTGAAAGGTAGGCGCTTAAAATTTCACCATATGGATGTTTCCATAATTTATTTAAAACATTTTTATTGATGGACATTTATATTGCTTGCTGGTTTTTGCTTTACAGACAATGCTACCATTTATAATCCAGGGCATTTAAAAATCATATTTCACTCTTACCTTGTAACTGATGATGCTTCCTTACACATAAAATTTATATAAGCTTAAAGTTGTGCAGGCTATTAAAGTAGTCATTCTTATTTATTTACTCCCTCTGTTCGTTAATGTGCATTGCTTACATATTTTTTCTTCCAGACATCTTGTTACC